GTAAGGTAACATATTCATAGGTTCTGGGAATTCAAAAATAGACATCTTTGGGAGGAGAGGCATTATTCCGCCTCTGCCTCTTCATAGATTTTATTTTTCTTGCTGTCTTGTTTATTGTCACATTTAACCATTTATAAAACTGGCATTCTTTCAATTAGTTATACCTTCCTTATTTTCTCCCTTCCTTTATTTGACAACCATCTTCTGAGCACCTACTATGGGCTAAGTGCTATGCTAGGTACTGTAGGGATACAATTATGTATCCAGACTCTACCTCAAGGTATTTCCAGTTAGTAAATTTCCTTGATGGCCCTGTTACTGGTCTTAATTTAAATGAGTTAACCTTCAGGAAAGGCCATTGCTAATACTGCAGGTGCAAAAGGTAGTTACCACCTTCTACTGCTGGGGTCATTAAAACCCCAGCTGAGACAAGAAGCCTCACACAGAGAAAGCTAACAACAAAGAGAGTGGTCCAAGATTTGAAGTCCTGGTTTTCACAAAGGATAGATAGGACTGACTTTCCCTAAGCGGGTGCTGATGCTGTGAAGACTGGTCATACCTTCACCCAAAGGCTCTCACTGTGGACCTCACCATCACCTCCAATCTGCACTCCTACAAGAAGAAGTGCAGTTTTCTGCAAAACAGTTGAGCCCCCCCCCTTTTTTTTTTTTTTTTGCAAATTTCCCATAGATCATTCTCAGGAAATGCTTGACAAAACACTTGGTCCCTAAAGAGTCTTATCATTTAGAGGTACATGCTGAACTATTCACGGATGAAATAGTACGATGTCAGGGATTTGCTTCAGAACAAAACGTGTGGGAGGAAGTGGGTGGGGTATCGATGAAACAAGACTGGCCATGAGTTAATCATTGTTAAAGCTGGGTAATGGAACACAGAGGCTCTTTATACTATTCTAATTGTTTTTTTTTTTCTTTGCATGTTTAAAATTTTCCTTAATTTAAAAAAGTTGGTTAGGTGTGGTGGCTTACGCCTGTAATCCCAGCACTTTGGGAGGCTGAGGCAGCTGGATCACCTGAGGTCAGGAGTTTGAGACCAGCCTGGCCAACATGGTAAAACCCCATCTCTACTAAAAATACAAAAATTATCTAGGCGTGGTGGTTCATGCCTATAGAGCCAGCTACTTGGGAGGCTGAGGCACAAGAATCACTTGAACCTGGGAGACAGAGGTTGCAGTGAGCCGAGATCATGCCACTGTACTCAAGCCTGGGCAACAAAGTGAGACTCAGCCTAAAAAAAAATAAAAATAAAAAATAAATTAAAAAATTTAAAATGTTGGGCCAGGCATGGTGGCTCACACCTGTAATCCAAGCACTTTGGAGGCCAAGGCGGGCAGATCACCTGAGGTTGGGAGTTCTAGACCAGCCTGACCAACATGGTGAAACCCCGTCTTTAAAAAATAAATAAATAAATAAATAATAAAATTTAAAATGTTAAGGACGAAAATTTTGTCACTACATTTTATGTTGTCACTACATTTCACCCATGTCATTGAAATAAACTTATCATTTGAATATATTTTACTGTCTAAATATTTGCCTAGATTTTAAAAATAAATAAGTGCAGGTGTATAAATATTTCACAAAGTAGTTATCTTCTACAACCACTTGCATCACAGCACGGAAGAGAAAATGCTAGATATCTTGCCTGCGGCTAGCCTTATAACAATGATGGTCCTGTCCTCAGAGAAGAAACACATAAAACTCTCAAACCTCATTCCAATAACTGGACTTAAAGGGTTAAACATACCATATGGGGAAAGATAGTTTAACTTGATTAAAAGATCACTGTGGCTTTTTATGATGGAAATGGTGAACCCATCTCCGAATTTTCATATATTAATTTCCAGGCAGCATATTAGCATTAGCTTGGGATCATCAAACTATGGTTTTCAGTCTCAGTACCAATCTGAGAAAAACAACTGAAATGGATAGAATTTTCTCTGGAGTTTCTTTGTCTGCACTTTC